AGTCCATGAACTCTGTGCTAATGTACTCCCCTCCGTTGTCCGATTTCAAACATTTCACCTTCAAACCAGTTTCAAGTTCAACGGCAGTTTTCCATTTCTTAAAAACATCAAATACTTCGTATTTACTTTTAAGAAAATAAACCCATACCTTGCGTGTGGCATCGTCTATGAAGGTCACATAGAATCTCGAGCCTCCCAGGGATTCAACTCGCGTTGGACCAAAAACATCTGAATGAATAAGCTCTAACTTCTGAGCTTTAGGTACTCTCCCCGTCTTCACAAAAGATACCCTCTTTTTCTTTCCATAAACACACGGTTCACAGAATTCAGATTCAACTTTCTTTAGGTCTGGAAGCTTTCCTTTGGCTACAAGCATTTTCATCCCCTTTTCACTCATATGGCCGAGTCGTTGATGCCACAACTTAGAGACTCAGCCCATTAGTTACTGCATTTGCATCTCCTGCAGTTGTCTCAGCCATGTACAAAGTACCCTGTTTCTTTCCCTTAGCAATTACCATACTTCCCTTGACAACCTTCCACTGTCCAGCCCCGAAGTGAACATTATACCCCTGGTCGTCCAATTGCCCAATGGAAATCAACATCTTTCTCAATTTGGGAATTACCTTGACATCTTTCAATGTCCAAATTGTTCTCAAGTTGGTTTTTAAGTCAATATCTCCCACCCCAGTAATATCCAGCGTTTGATAATTAGCAAGACTTACAGTACCAAAGTTGCCTTGTCTGAGATTCTTCATCTTTCTCGAACTAGAGATGGCATGAAACGACGCACCTGAGTCCATAATCCAGGAATCGACTGTGTCCTCTACACAGCAGATTAATACATCGTCAGAATCTGAGGTTGTGGCAGCATTCACCTCTTTCTTGTCGCTAGGTGGTTTGGTGCACTGATTTTTGAAGTGTCCGTACTCATCAGTTCCAACACTTGATGTCACTTCTTGTCTTTGAACTCCCTCTCCTGCCTTTGGACTTAGATCTTCCCCTGTAACTGTTTCTCCTCTCTTTCTTTCTACCTCTTCCCTCAGTGCTCAGCAGAGAACTTGATGGTTCACCTGTATTCTTTCTCCTGATGTCTTCTCCTAGGATAAAATCACGGATTCCCTCAAACGTGAGTGTGGTGTTTCCAGCTGAACCACTAATAGCCGTGACTGATCCTGACCAACTATCCGGTAAAGAAGATAAAAGAAGCAAAGCTTGTACCTCATCATCAAATTTGATATCTACTGACAGCAACCGGGATATAATGGTATTGAAAACATTGATATGAGTAGTAACAGAACCACCTTCCCGCATACGAGTGTTAACTAACTGTCTAATCAAGAATACCTTATTAGACGCGGAAGGTTTCTCATACATGTTTGACAACGTTGTCATAACCCCACGAGCAGTGGTCTCTTTCACNATGTTGAAAGCCACACTCTTTGTCAAAGTGCACCTGATGACGGCTAGGGCTTTTCTATCCAAGTCAGCCCATTCTTCATCCTTCATCTTCTCGGGTTTCTGACCTGTCAAACATGGAAGAAGATCTTTCTGACATAGCAAGTCCTCGACTTGCATCTTCCACCATCCAAAATCTTGCCCATCAAACTTCTCTATCCTGATCTTTCCGTCCTCAGACACCATGTCTTCTGAGTATCCAAAAATCTGACCAGAGAACACGTGAGACCAGATTGAAACAAACAACCAGAACTGACCTCGAAAATTGCAACAGCAAACTGAACAGCAAGGTTGTTCGGACTGCCCACAGATGACTATCTCGGTGGTCTTCTGATGTGTCGGCAGAAACCCTAGAGTCGCTAGGGTTGGCAGTGGAGGCAGATCTGTGTGTATGACCTAGTCTCTGATACCAGTTGTTAAGAACAAAAGCACACACACACGAATAGAAAGCAAGAAAGCAATAGAGAACACGAGATTTAACGTGGTTCGGTCTAATCTGACCTACATCCACAGGGGCAACTAGGGTTTGTATTATTGAGTGATGATGATTACAAGTACATGAGATCAAATATATAGACAACTAATTAGGGTTTAACCCTTGCTGGACAAGTTATAGCAAACTGGGCTTAAAACCATTTGGGCCGGCCGAAACCCTAATCTGGTCTCCTAATTCTCAGTTGTCTACAAGTGGGCCACTTTGGGCCGATGACTACACATCACCAACATGATGTACATTATTCTGGATCAATTGAACACTTGCAGATATCTCCTCCAAGCACTATAGAGCAGCCTTCATGTCCAGTCTGTCAGGGTATTATTAATGTTTGAAAGCCAATGATGCCTTCATGTCCAGTCTCTCCATTCTGGTGCCTTATTAGGAAGTTCTATTTCCTTCAATTTGTTAGCTTTTGTTTCATTAAATAAAACTGGGGATAGAGCAGCCTAATTGAAAAAGTAGATATTGATTAATTGAGTTATGATGAAACCGCTCTGTTTCGCTATGCAGAAGTCTACATCACTCTTTGATGATAGAGTTCTTTCAAGGTAATTTTTTTTCATTTTTTCTTTATATTTTCTTTTATGTAGCTTTGTAATTTCGAGATGGTGAAAGTTGATTCTTTGATTATTCATATTAAGCAAACACATATACAGGTAATGTAATACACACAACAGAAAATGGAATTATGCTTCATTTTCTAAAGCATCTAGATTGGTTATGTGTCATAGTCATATAAGACGAATTTTGTTTTTTCTTCGTTTCTCTTTAAGCTTATTTTGCATTTGCAAGTTTTAAATACTTCGTCTCTCAAACATTTCTTATTTTGACTATAAGGAGAAGTCGTAAATGTTTGACAAAGGTGAAACGATGACAATTTAAAATATTAGGGTTTGAGAAGTGTCAAAACATGTACCGATAGGGGCGTATAAGGAAGTAGGGGTAGGTTAGAGTTAGAAAAAGTAAGGGCATTTATGTCTATTCATGAAAATAGAACTTTTTTGGGACCATAAAAAATTTAAAAAAAGAAATACTTTGCGAGATGGAGGGAGACCTTTTAATGTTTTTTTTAAGATTGTGTGTACAAGAGGACACCTTTTTGTGAATGTCTGAGGACTCCCATTACAAAAAACATAATGGAAATGCACAATGTTAACTAAGAACATTAAAGGAAACCGTTTGAGCTTACTTGAGACCAATAAAACTAAACTCACTTGAGACAAACAAGCTAATGCATGCATATTTATACAAAATTTTAGTTGTATGATGTGAGCCTATCAGATTTTTTTATATAGAACATTAGCTTTGTAGTTTATAATTGTTGTATTTGATTCTCACTTTCGTATTTTCTATTCTTTTTCCTTTTGTTTCTCATATACAAGGCCATACATGAGATGACATTTATGAACTCTTTCTTGAGATGACATACATGAGATGACATTTATGAACTCTTTCCTTGTGTCGTATGTGATCTTTAGTCGAAGGTGATTGTTCAGCACCTACTCTTGGCTTCTCCAGTTCTCCTCTTCAAACCCTTTCACTTTAATTTTTTGCTACAACTAGAGACATGAAGTAGCACTTGCCTATCACCTTTTAGTGGTAATTTCTCTTGATTTCATTTTCTTTTGAGTTCATTTCTTAAACCTTATCTTCTAGAATAATGGATGATTTTGGATTCAATTTTTAATGTTTTGTGATTTTGAATATGCTTATAAAAATTGGAATTTTAAATTATTTTATTTGATTGATTTTTAAAATCTCTTGGAAATAGCCTTCCTACTTCCAAGTAGGGGTAAGGTCTGCGTACTCACACCTAATACCGAAAACCGAATACCGAAGTAACCGCTAAATCGGTTTCGGTTTCGGTTTCGGTTTTGCACAATAAAAAATTCGGTTTGTTCGGGTACTTCGGTTTGGTTTCGGTTTTGGGTATCGGTTTATTCGGTTAACCGAATAACTGATATATATGCTTTGTTTGGGTAAGGCTCCGTTCCGTTCAACTTATTTTTTCTGATCTGATCTGATTCTAATAAGCTCTGATCTGGTCTGGTCTGATCTGATCTGATCTGGTCTGATCTAATTAATTATGATTTAATTTAAAATTTCAAATTAATTATTTAATTTGACTTTATAATAACGTTTGAAAATTGTAATGATAATTCATATTATAATATAATCAATATTTTTTATTTAATGATTATTTTTTAATAAAATAAAAATAGTTAATTCATATATTAGAATAATCATTCATATGATAATGTAATAATATTTTTTATTTTATGATAATTTTTTTGTAAAATTAGAATTATACAT